CTTTTAATTAAGCACAAAGTTACATAATGGGTTATCTGTGCTCTGCCTACCACGGGTATCGAAACCCGGATTCTAGCGTTATAGGTCCGCAGGCATACCGCTGTGCCACTGGGAAGCATTTTTTGTTGCAAATACGTTCAACATTGGACATTTTAAAGGAGATTTAAAACTTAAACATTAAAAACAAAGAAAGAATTTTTGGTGCGTTTTGTGATATCTCCAATGACAAAAAGTAAAAATAATAAAAGATTGATTTATATTTTAATTGAATATTCTGTTACGACATCGGAGGTCACGTGACGCTAGTATCACGCCACAAGCTTCTCGGACGTTCACGTCCCTTCTTGAAATATCGGGAGTTTACTAGATCTCGGTAATCTTTTATATATAAGACGGTCACAACGTAACAGCAATAAGGTAATAAGTAATTGAATGTATGCGGACAGAGAATATTGTTGGGCACGTGAGACATTCGTTGTGAGTTAAGCGTTGGTTATACCGCGACTGTTGAAATTAAGTGTATTGCAAAGTTGTATTCAGAAAGAATAAACCAGTTTTATTTAAGAAAGGACTTGTATCGTTAGAGTTTCTTCGGAAATAATTTTTACGGAAAATTAACTAACGAACTGAGACGTATCAATTCCTTAAGTGACAATTCTGGTTCGTTAAATTGAAAATCATGCAACTATATCGACATATTTCGTCAGGTTTGAGGAAAATATTCAGGTTGATAAAGAGAAAAAGAACGTAATTAATAAAATTAAGTCAAACAGCAAATAACTGTCCAAAGCCTGGGTCAAATATTCAGTAAAAAGTAATGAAAGAAAATATGGGTATTTTTTCACGTCATTCATTAAAATTTTTGAATTACACTTACTTCCTGCAGCAATACTGACAAAGCTAGCACTTTTTAACAGCGTAAAAGAAAAACGATCACAAAAAGCAACTATTCGTAACTGTATAAATATATTGAACTACCAATTTCCAAGCATATTTTTTTTAGAAAGAAAAAAAAAACAGAGAAGCCTGACATAAAATATTGTCACTTACATAATATAAAACTAATTGATAACTTTTATCGTAATTCGTCTCAAATTCCAAATAATAATTTACACGGAAGTTTAGAACGACATCTGGTTGAATTTTATCTTCAGAGCATAAATATAATTACTTTTATTGTTTAAAAAACTTTATGTAAATTCGTATATTTTGTGATTACTGTTAAAATTTACATGTTAAATTTCGTCATATTTTATCAGGTGGAAGTTTAAGTTCATCAATATACACTTCTAAACTCTGCAGTGAGTAAGACTAGATGAAGTTATAACTTGCATTTACTGATGATTTAGTGATTTCAGTTAAGTTTAAAATAATGTCTCTATTACTATTTATCTTTTGTTTTAGTTTGTTACAATTCAAGTTATGATATTTAGATTTTACGTTTAGATGAGTGTTTGATATCTTGTATGCATAATTTAAAATGTATATCTTGTTTTCACTTTGTTTTATATATTAATGTATATCACTATATGCATATATATATTATTATGTTATTCAACTTACTCAGTTGTTACGAATTCAATTAAACGTTTAGTCGTCGAACTCGAAGAAAACTTCATTTTTAAAACCAATTCTATGCAATAGGACTAATATTAATAACAAATTATTATACAACAGCTAGTGATAAAAGTTACATTTTTAATATTCCCATTAGGCAGCAGTCAGCGCAAATGTTTATCACGCATTATTTTCGATTAGTTCATTACGGATTTCAAATCAGCGGTGCATATAAGTAATTTGCAATTGGAATAGGCATAATGTTACCGTTAGTAATATAGTCACTTGCAGTACAAGTTATAGATATGCTTGTGAGTGTGATGTTGCCACTATTAATATACCTGCTGTAGTCCTTTCACGTTTAAAATAATAATAAAAAAACTGCACATGCAAAACATCTTGCAAAATAGTATGATGAAATAAGAGGAAAAGTCTTTTTGGACTGTACAAAATCATAACATGTAATGATGTATATATTATATTTAAAAAGATTATGGCAGCAGATACCCATTCTTCCCACAAATCACATTTATTTAACAAATTATTAGATCATGAAAAAAGAAGGTTACAGAAACTGAGAAAGTCATTTGACCTAGTTTGCAATTATACCATTAAAATTATATACCTACTTCATGTTCCGAAAAGATAATTGAACTTTACTGTTCAACACTTTCTATGATTCTGTGTAAGAATATCATTGCTTACCTTATTGTTTCAGAATGCTGCATGTATTATAATAAAATTAAATCATGTATGTGATATGTAAATGAAATATAATGAACTTGTAATAATTGTAGTTGAGGAAATATACTCGATAACAAATGGGATTTCTCACTATAATAAAATATACTGAAATAAACATTTTTTGTTTAAGAATGTAATAAATATGAAAATATTTAGTATTAATATGATGCATATAATCTTTTGACTGTGAGAGAGAATATTCTACAGGTAGTAAAGTTTTCAAATGATAGTTTCAAGTAGTTTATTGAACCATTGGGAAAGTAAGTCACTTGAAGATAAAGATCAACCAAATTGTGAATCAAAGCTTACCATGAAATAATGACCAATAGAGAAACTGTGGTGCTCAAAACATTGTCAACTTGCACTTCTAACTTAAATAAAAGTTACAAACTACAATTAATGCACTACAGGACTTAACTTTTAAGGGACAAAAGGCTATCCCTTCCACTACAGAACAAAAAAAGGCCAGCCCTGATAATTTATTTAATTATCAAGTCTTCCATTAAACTGTATCTATCACATATAAAGGCAACCCATTTTAAAGACCAACTGTTGTATTAGAAAAGTAAAACTGTCTAAGCTGAAGACTTTATAGTGGTGAGAGCCAGGATAAATAAATGCAGAAAAAAATAAGATAGATGTAGAGAAAACCATAGTGTAGGAACGAAGTACCAAAGTAGTTTTAGGGGTTGGCTACATTCTTACTATTGGAATATTAGAAGTATAAAATATAAAACAGATGATATTAGAGCACTAGTTGGAATAAATGATTTCGATATAATGAGAATAACTGAAACTTGGTTAAGCATAAGCAATTTTGATGACAGAAATTTTTTGAAATACAGGATTATATATTATTTAATAGGGATAAAGTACTAAAGAGAGTGAGAAGAGTGGCTTTATATGTAAAATGGGAATTATATATTTTTGAGGATTTGAAAGAAAACACCAAGGAGATTAAATTTATTTAGGTTTCTGTTAGTAAATATAAGGGAAGAAGGCTTTTAGTGGAAATTTGTTACAGACCACCAGATGAAATTGAAGGAATTTGTGAGAAACTCTACAATGAGATCTTAATTATGGATGATTTTAATTTCAAGCATATAAGTTGAGAAATGTTAAGAGTCAAATCATGAGAGATACAGGTTTTTAGTAACCACTCAAATAGTTTTTTTATTAGTTATATAACCTTGTAATAATAATGATATTTTAGATTTATTATTATCTTCTAATATAGAAATGTTGAGAGGGGGGAGATTAGGGAAAATCTTGGTGCAAATGATCATTGCTCTATTAGGTTTAATTTTTAATGTATATAGAAATCAGGTATAATGAAATTTTGGATACAAATTTTGAAGGTATTCATTAATAATTATCTGTTATAAATTGGGCAACTGAACTAGTTTGAGATATTGATTAAATATGGAAAAATGTTTTAAATAAATTTATAAATATTCAAGATAGACATGTTATTAATAGAAAAAATATGGCTGCAAGTACAAAATCAGGTTGGCTCACAAAGAGTTTAAATGATAAGATTAAAGAAAAGTATTATAAATTAAAGAAGTTTAAGTTGACTATAATGACTGAAGACTTGAAGGATTATAGAAGATCAGGATAGTTGGTCAAGTAGGACATTAAGAAATGAAAGAGAGTATGTAGAAAAAAATTTTGAAAATATAAAAGTTAACAGTTAGGATATCTTTAAACACATTAAAGGTAAGCATAATGTTAGGATAGCAGTAAGGCCTTTGAGGGATGATAAAGGAAGGTTCATGTCTGATGATTATAAAATGAGTGGGTTGATAAATTTTACCTTTTCTTTAACTTTTTTAATGAAGATTTAAGCAATATTGCTCATCTTGAATAATTGCTAGATGGAAACAAGTTTGAACAAAATGATTACACTAATTCTGAGTGATAAGGCTCCTTAGCTGGATAATACTCTTACGACAGCGGAAGTCACGTGACACTGGTAATACGTCATGAGTTGCTAGAAGGATCATTACTGTTCCTGACAACTCTAGTGTTTGCCAGATGCCCTCTATTTTAGTATATAAGTCTGGCAAATAAAGCAGAGTGACGGCATATATAATAGCAGATTGAAGAGAGATATAGAGACAGATAATTGAGTCAAGTGAGCTTTAGTGACTGATAGTAAAGTGCGTGAATTGTTGTGAATTATAGCATGTGTTTAAGTTAAAGTGACTGTGGAAATTCTGTGTATTGCAAAGTTGTATTGAGAAAGAATAAACTAGTTTTATTTAAAGAAAGGACTTGTATCGCTGAAGTTCCTCGGGGAGAATTTATACCGGAAATTAACAAACGAACAGAGACGTAACAATACTTTTCCAAGGGTTTTGGAAGAGGTTAAAGATTGGATATGTGAGTCACTTGCTACAGTTTTTTATAAATCCTTAAATAGTGGACTGCTGCCTGAATGTTGGGTGTTATTCCTCTTTTCAATGGAGTTGATAAAATTAATCCAGGTTATTATAGATTTATTAATGACATACCAGTGGTGGAAAAAGCTTTTAAAAGTGTGATGAATAATGATTTACAAAGTCATTTAACAAAGTTTGAATTTTTTTTTGATAATCAATATAATTTTCCTAAGTGAAAATCTTGCTCTGCTAATCTTTTGACATTCTTTGAAGAGGTTGCTATTTATGCAGGTGTGTTTTTGGCATATCTGGATTTTCAAAAAGTATTTAACAAAGTGTCACATAAAAAGTTTATTAAAAAATATATCTCTGTAGGTGTGGGGGATAGGTTGGCTTCTTGGTTAGAAAAATGGCTGGATATAAGCTAAGAGGCTTATAAATTGAGTTCAGTTAAACTGGATACGATATGTTTTATAATTTGGTGTGAAGACAAATTAGTCTATAAATATAATATAATTAAATATAATTAGTTCTTAAATGTTAGGCTTAACAGTAACAGTGTTAACAATAGGCTACTGGTACTTGGTATTCAGTATTTATTTTCAGGCTGTGAGAAAAATACAATGGTTAAGACCAGTGTAGAAATTAAACATTCACAATTTGTTAGATGTAATGGGTGCAATGAGTGGGCTTTATTTGAAAAGTTGAGACTGGCATGTACTTTTAAGGAAGCTAGTAATGGAGATGTGCAATTTGTATGTTGAGTTTGTAGGTTATAGGAGAAGTTGGAGGTTATCATAATTAATGTAGAGGCAATAGATGAAGAGAAGTGTAGACTGTAGGAAATGGTAGCAGGATTTCAAGAAAAGCTTAAACTTTTACATGCAAGGAATACATCAGTTAACAATGACTTTCAGGAAGTTAGAAAGGGATAGTTGAGCTAAAAGTAGTGAATTTAATTGTAATAAGCCTATTCTATTGAGCAACAAATTTCAAGCCTTAGTTTCTGCAGACAAGTAACTATTGGAGGAAAGGAAAACAAAAGGGTCAGAGAAGGATGTGAATAATAAGGAGGTTATAGTTATAGGTGATTCCTTGACAAGGCATGTGGATAGGATAGTGTGTGAGGTAAATGTGGAGAAAAGAATCAGATTATGCTACCCAGGAGCACAGGTGAAGTATATAACTGACAGAGGTGGGGATATAATAAAGGGGCTAGCAGAGATGCAGTTTTTGTGGTGCAGGTAGGGGCTAATAATGTAAGGAAAGGTATGTCAGAGGAGCTAATTAATAAGTACAAAGGGTTGATAAAGGCATTTAAAGGAAAAGGCCATAACTTAATTTTGTCAGGGATATTGCCCAGAATTAACTGTGGGAAAGAAGTTATAAATAGGTCACTTGGGCTAAATGCTAGGCTTAATTTAGTATATAAGGATGAGCAGATTGGACTTGTGGGATCAATTTAGTGGAAAAAAGGGAGCTTTTTGGAATAGATGGTTTACATTTAAATAAGATAAGGGATGGCTTGTTTGCTAAGGCTATTAACTCGGCTGTAAGGGAAGTTTTAAACTAGGACTAGATAGTGGTGAGGGCCAGGATAAACTAAATGCAAAAAGAATAAGAAGCAGAGAAAAGTTTAGCATAGGAAATGAGTATAGAAGTAGTAATAAGGGTAGGCTTAATTGTTACTGTTGTAATGCTAAGTAAAAGAAATAAAATAGATGACTTTAGAGTGCTGGTAGGAATGGAGGATTTTGATATAATAGGAATAACTGAAACATAGTTAAACCTAGATGATTTTTATGACAGAAATTTCTTTGAAATACAGGTTTACAGACTATTTAATAGGGATAAAGTCCTAATGGGGGAGGTGTCTTTATATGTAAAATGTGAGTTAGATCCTGTTGAAGTTGAGGATGTCAAACGTAATGGCAATGAGATTCAATCCATTTGGATTTCTATTAGTGGGTACAAAGGGAAACAAACAGTTGATAGATGGAAACAAGATGACTGCATTAATTCTGAGCTGGTTAAGAAAAAATTGGAAAGTTTAAAGAATGATAAGGCTCCTGGGCCTCATAATATTTCCCCAAGGGTTTTGAAGGAAGTTAAAGATTTGCTACTTAAGAGAATTGGTAGAGTTGCTACATCATCTTTTTTTTATATACTTAATGGTGAGCATGGTAAGACTAGGGGATACAAATACAAAATTGGGCAGGGTAAGGGTCGTTTTCATCTAAGTCAGTTTTATTTTTCTAATAGGTTGTTTCACCTTTGAAATGGATTGCCCTTAGATGTGGTGGATGCAGTAGATTTAAGGGTGTTTAAGGAAGGCTTAAAAATTATTTAAATTATAAGGGCTGGCTTTGACTTCCTTGTAAGTTTAGTTTAGATTAGTGGATGGAATAGGCTAGATGGAGCAGTAGTTCCCTTGTTGTCTTTAAATTTTCTTATGGTATGGTAAGACTGGACTGGTTTGTTCATGTAGGTTTTGCCTTATCATTCCACAACTTTATCCTTTGGAGGTGTTTTATCAAAGTCCTTAATCAGTTTAAACACCATTAGGTCTGACATCATCTATGGGTAACTTATTGTAATGAGTTAATACAGTTTTCTTGTTATTAGTATACCAACATATAAAAGTATTATAAGTTTATTAATTATTGGTTATAAATAACAAATATACAGGTAAAACATATTCTAAGTTCAAGATCACACCTTCTTTGTTAATGGATCAGAAACTTGTAAAATGACATTGTTACAAATTACTCATTGATGATGCTACTTCCTGGTAAGTTAAATTATCTTTGAAATGATGGTTCTTTTTATTCAAATAAATGGCATCACTGATTACAAGTGAAACAAAAAGAAAATATAGAGATATTTGTTGGTTATAACGACAAGCTAGAATATTTTGTTTTAGTCTTACAAAATAATTCTAACTCATAATAAATATCTTGTTATATGAAATGGGTAATCAGTCTACAGAAGCTGTTACAATTTCAGTCCTTTACATAGATACAATTAAAATTTGTTGAAGCACAATTATAATGTATTTACCATGGACATTGATAAGGACAAGAATAAGATACTAGAACTTTTAATATGAATTGTTATCTTACTTAGATGTATGGTGCTTTACTAACCACAAATAATCTAAAATACTTTAGGTGTTCCAATAATAAATAACAAGGGGTGAGTAACAGACTATGTATCTAAATCAAGCAGTGCTTACATTCCACTACTATGTGAGACCTACTTTATTTGTTTTGCTTTTCCAAGCAGCACTGAACGGCTGTGGATTTGGCTAAACTTGTGTTATAGCAGGTGTAGTGAATGAAGGAATATATTAGGCTTATACATCATTTTTTCTTGCTAAAATTCATGTTTTAATGAAGTAACAAATACTTGTTGTTGTTGGAGTAAAATGTTGTTTGTTCTTTTTTTGAGTAAATAATCAAAAGCTGTTTATCACTAATATTTCATATGCCTGTTATTATAATTAGCTAGGAAACTTAAATACAGCTTTTAAGTCTGAATATCTGGGTTTCTGATATGTTAACTAGTAATGTGTTTTTGGAGTTGTGTAAATGTAAGTAGCTGTGAAATTATGAAATATTTAACATGTTCATAGCGATTATCAAATAAAACTAAGCATCTAATGATATCTATATGTAGTAAAATATGACACTAACATTGTTTTATTAACTAGTGTGTGTGTGTATATATAGGTTTTATCAAAAAACAACAAAAATGTTGCATAAGTCAAAAGATCACAGGCTATAATGTGAGATATTGGAGGGGACTGCAGAACTAGGTCCTACATTGCAGTAGGGATATTCATGTTTACCAGTCTTAACCTCTGTTTGCTAGTTTCACATGTTAAAGAATAAAAAATAAACAAAAAAATATGAATATAAAAAAGTAAGGAGAGCAAGATGGTGGTGCTCAAGTCTACAGTGTCCCGAATTTCATTGCGTCACACAGTCGTGAGATGATGACTGCTCTCCAAAGGAATATAAAAGAAAGGAAAAATTTAAATAAGGTCCTACCATCAGGAGTAAGCAAAATAACATTACCTTCTGATGTTGACATTCCAACCCCCATCATTAGTTAATTAGTATTATAGTAGACAAATTATACTTGTATCAAAATGTAAAAACTCAATCATGTTATATAAACTTGTATAACTTCTCAACTTCTTTAAGTCCACTGTAACTACTAATTTTCAAACTTGATCTACTCTTTATGAAAGCTTTTGTATTTTTATGCAATAATGGTGTTCATACATGCATGAAAACAGTGCCAAGTTGTTTAAACAATATTATTAAAAGCTAAAAATATTTATTGGACATTTCAAGTGAAATGTTTTTAATCAGTATTTCAACATTAATCATGAAATACTATAATTTATTACAGATTGTACAGAATCTGAGCAGTTGTGAAGTTATGATACTTATAACAATAGAATATGGCATATTAACAATCGGAGATTATTCATGATTAATTATTTTAATTTCCACATCTATATAATGTGTCTCTACTTCAGAAATAGAATTTTTGTTAATTTGTAGTTCTACTGGATAAATAATTGTTATAAAATTATCTATCTTACAATTATATATACTAGTTAAATCATATATATATACATATATATAAATTAAAGCAGAAATTTCCATATTTATGAAATTTTCAAAAAACTTATTTTCATAAATAAAGATCTAAATTTGCTATACAAGTAGAATAGTTGGCTCCCATTCGATCTCCTAATACTTGTTTAAATAACTGATTATTGAAAAAAATATAATAATTATAAATATAGAAAAATAAATATTTTATATTTTTGGAGGTAACATTTCTTTCTTTAAGTACAGTATTGTTCTGTTAATGAATTCATAACTGAATTTAAATCTCTCAATAGAATTGCCATATATGGAATGGTAAAATCAAATGGTTGAATAGTTTTCACTTGTTCACAGTTATTTAAGTATTCTAAAATGGATTGACTATTTTTTATTGTCTAAAAAGTATGTTTATTGTTCTTGCTATTTATATTTTTAATTCTATCAAGTAAAATATTGAATAATTTATCTAATAAAATGGCTGGTTATTTAATAATTGTTTTCACTGAACTGAAAATTAACCTAAATTTAATATGAGATTTATGCAGTTTAGGAATAGCATACAGGAAGGATAAATCTAAAAAATTAATTTGGTTTAGAATGAAATTTTATATAAGTTTTAATGAAATTATTATTTCCTGTACCCTTAGATTGATTAAGAAGTTTAAATGTTTATGTACTACATATTAATTTCATTTATCATACGTAGTGCATAAAAAGTTTTACAAATAAACCCAAAATTACAGTTAGCTTTATCTATGGGAAAAGTGACATATTTTCTATGCAGTTCTTGGATCTTATTTCTTAATTGATAAAATGTTATATCTATAGGAAATTTAATTTATATGAGATAATTTAAATCTTATTTTATTAAGTACATAAAACTTCCATTCTAGAACCATCTAGGTGGAGAAGATGTAATATGTATTCATCAATATTGTTTTAAATAGATCTTAGAATATTTTGCTTATTACATTTTGTGGCAATTCTGTATTTAGATACTTTTTTAAGAATTTTACACAGTAGTTTGTCTTTTCCAATTTCTAAATTACCAGTAATAATAGGTTTATGAAAAGTATCAATAAGTATAATATTTTTACATTCACAAGATAAATTAGTTACTCGATCTATATTTAAATTTGTTAAAAAAAACTTAAATAATAGTTGTCCAATCCGTAAGTTAAGACAGTGAATCTTAAAATCTGGAAGTATGCTTTCAAAAAATGTTTTTGTGGATATATTTTTATACACAAGTGTCATAAAGTTTTTTTTTAATATTCTTAAAGCTTTGTTGGAGATTTGGATTATTCTGGTAGAGAAGAGCTTTTGTTTTGAAAAATGTGAAATTCCAACCAAAATTATAGTGAAGTATTTTTTATCTTAGTTGCAAAAGGAACTTTGAATACATAATAAGCTAAAGTTCACTTTGTATTTTAGATAATATCCTTCATCATAAATCATGCCTGTGTAATTTAATTATAAATTAAGTAAACACTAATTGTTTTTAAAAGCTGAAGTTTAAAGCAGTGATGTTTACTTAATTAACAGAGAAGTGATTAAAAGAATCAGTAATGATTCTTCATTCACCAAAAACAAGTTGAGAAAGTCCATAAAATTTCTCTTTGTCAAATATTGCTTTTGTACATTGAGCATTGTTCACATAATTTCTTTTTTCTCTCTCTTAGGCAGGACAGTTAAGCAAGAACAGTGTGTTTAACCTACTAGTTAGGCCCTTTTGATAGTTCTTTTATGAATCAAGATGGATTCCAGGTTGTTCGAGGAAAAAGGAAGAGGAGGAAGAATAGATTTTTTAATGTACAACATGCTTCACAGTCTTTTCTACTATCACATGGACTTAATGATAACAACATATCAGACCTTGATTTAGCACTTGCAAAGATAGTAGAGTATCAGAAAGAAATAACTGATTCAGACTTTTATATAAGGCTCGTAAATCAACTGGAAAATGTGCTACAGCCAAAAAATATTCAACAGACTGTATGTTGTTTAGGATGTGAAGAAAACCGACTAACAGCTTTAAATTTAGACAGCTTTCATATAGTTTGTTATGGACTTGGAAACTTCAGCTCATGTGTTTCATCTCAATACCAATTGGCTTTGTTACTGGGTTTAAAAGCATGGTTTAATATTGACAATGTTTTACTTTATGATCCTATGTTCAGTTCTTCAGAAATACAGCTGTTGAAGAAAGCAGGCTGTGAAATAATTGTTAAGAATGAAGAAGGTAAAAGAAGTGTGAAGACAAAAACTTTATTTTATATGCCTCATTGTGGTAAACCCTTATACAATAGTGTATTGTGGGCAAACTGGTCTCCTGATCACCTTCCTCTAGTAGTCATTCTTGGAAACAGCTTCAACACAATGATGTGTAACACCCCTGTAAAATGGCTGGAGGACAGTGTCCCATATATTGTGAAAGTTTTACCATTTAAACAAGAAACTATGATAGAGAATGACTTTAGGATTAATGATATATTTAATGACATTGCAGTCCACAGCTTTAACAGAGAAAAATTACTCCAGGAGCTGTCAGATTTTTGGGAAGAAGCTACTGAACCTTCTTACAATTCAGATGACGAGATTATATGTAGTTCCCAAATGAAGTGAACCTAAATAGAGGAGATAATGTAAATTGAAATTATAGTTACGATAAGATAAGAATGTTTTCTTGTTGTAGGATTAATAAATAATAATACTATTATTTTATATTTAATGTACATGCAGTATCTGTAAATGCAGGTTTTCAAAAAACTATATTATTAAGCTGAATGAAGAATATTGTCAGCAAGATGTAGGTTTTTAATTGACCTGAATTTGTTATATCAATTTTGCTGAGTACTCGCATGTCACTAGTTTGACATAATGTAAAATTCCTGGAAAGCTTAGAAGATTGAGGGAAGTGATAGTTATCTTTATTAAATGAATGTTTGCAAATTACTATAATTCTGAATTTACTGCATGCATCTATACAAAGTGTGGCAAGCTTTTAGTAAAATGCGTAAGTCTGTCACACAAAAAATCAGATGTGTTACAAAAGTCTTTATACTCAAGACATGTCGTGAATTGCCTATATCAGTCTGACTCAGACTCTGACCACTCAGTGTTCAAGGTGATGTTTGTTTGAAGAATAAAAATATTTTTGTCCATCATATAGTTTGCATATTGCATTTCAATAACCTCTAGAGCCTCCAAAATGCATATCTACAGCTTTTTCAGTATCCTTGTTTATTGCATCTGATAGTTACTCTCCTCTACCATGAACTGTTGCTAAGTTGGCAGTATAGGATAAAATAATTAGGTGATAACTCTGACATCAAATACATGATACCATGTTGAATTATACTCTGTAAAAAGTTGAGACATGCACATTTTGACCTTTACCCCCTTCACATAGGATTCGAAAAATAACATTATGGATGCCTTTAAAATCAAGAGTTATGATCAAACTTGTATAAAAAAAAGTATTTTGGTACTGAAATTTCTATGGTTTTCACCCATATTAATTTGTGTTCAAATATATATTTACTTTGTTAGTTAAAGTCCATATATAATTGTAGTTTGATAAATGGATACAGTTGCATAGATTTTCATAGAAACTTAGAAGACAACTTACCACAGTAACACCTCCTTTTCTTAATCTGTCATCACCCATATTCAGTTTTATGTATATATGTGTATATACATATGTGACTTTCTTTATATTTTTAATGTAAAAATGATGAGACTTTCTAAACATTGTTACACTACACACATTTTGTGTGGGGTTATTTGAAGTTTCAGCTGGATTAACTTTTAAAGATTCTAACGTAAAATATTAAAATGTACAGTAAATAAACTTAATTTTACACAACATCAACAGAAGGTGACTGTCCTTAACATGTGAGGATTACTATTTTCATAGTTGTGTGTCATGCTCAGGTAAAACTGAGTTAACCTTAGTGCATTGGGATAGTTATGCTAAATAAGAGGAGGTTCATCAAGATATTTGTTATAAAGTAGTACTTGAATCTCTGAGAAACTGAGTTTGTAAGATACTACTAAAAAAGTTTAATTTACAAATGAACAATCATGATAATACCACACTAGATGAGAATACCCTTCCTTCTTTTGTTTAAAATCCCTAATGATGACATTAGATGCAAATTGCATTCCGTGCTTTGTGGAAGGCAATAATTGACTCATTTAACTGACTAAATACTTGTATCTTTAAATTCAAAGCCAAAACTATATTAAAAACTGGAAATTTTCTAATTCAGTGTTTTTTATCTCTCTTCTTGAGCAAAAATCCTAAAACAAAATAGTCCATGTACACTGTCGGACAGTTCCTACACAAAAATTACTGTAATCAAGCTAGGCAACTGGGTATTGCAAACCAAACATATATAAAAAAGTGGAAATGTGTCCTATTTCAGGGGCCCCTTTATCCCCTTTTTTTGGTGAAAATCCTAAAACAAAATAATTCAGGTACACCATTGGACAGTTTCTAGTTACTGTATCAAAGGTTATGGTAATCAAGCTAGCTGGCACTGGGTGATGGATGTTAACATACATATACATACACATACGTAATGATCCATTTTTATACTAATATACAGACAGGAGAGGGTTGTTTATACTGGATTATGACTCCTTTTAAAATTATTAGGCTCACATAGTTTACCAAACTGTCTAAATTTAAAGTTCTTTACTTCATAGGAAACTTCAGATTTACTCAGGTGCAGATACTCCTCAAGTAGCATTGTGCGAAATTAAAAAAAAATTATTCAGAGTGACCAGCTCCACTCATATGACTGAACATTGTCATTCAAGTGTATGAGAGGTTGTGACTTTGATATGGATTTTGACATACCATTGACTGACACAGATGTCTCAATTGGTGCACAACGTGCAGCATTACAACCAATCCTTCATAGGTAGAATAGGTGTGACCTCAATAGAAAGACAAGGAACAAAGGCAGCTTTGAACAACATTAACTTAATGATTTTCTTGATCATGTGTTATGTGAAAACTGCACATACTCAAAAATAACTGATAAATCTAGAATAGTTATCAAAAATAAGAAGGTTGATATACACAAGATATTTATATACGAAACTTGTGTAAGACGTTTTTCTAGGTTTTATATAACAGTTTTAATAAGATATGCAATTATTTGACATATTTTTGAAATCCTATGATAATGACAAAAAAAATTATAATCTGACTCTCCAATCACGGATAAACAAGTGTATATTGATATCACAGAAACTGGAAATGAAAACAACTCTCTACTTCTGAAAGTGGTGTATTGTAGCTGAAAGTACGTTGAGTTGTATTCGAAAAAAAAACCCTGAAAAAGAAAAAGGTTTCACATCACACAGGGCCAGGCTTGGTCCAATGTCAGGTGTGCCAGACTGATGGTCCATAGTTTGTACTGTAAATGCCACACACTTTCAGTTGTTGATGTATTATAAGTGTAACTTAGTTCACAATCAGTCAAAGTCCTTGTGGTGGCAGGTTTTACTCACTGACTGCCTACCTTCTCATCAGATGGCCTGATATGGTTTGGTGATTAGGGTATTAGACTCGCAACCTGCGGATCACGGGTATGACACTGGTAACTAAACATGCTCACCCTTTTAACTGTAGAGATATCATAATGTGATAGTCAATCCCACTATTCGCTGGCAAAAGAGTAGCTCAAAAGTTTGCGATGGGTGGTGTTGACTAGCTGCCTTCCCCCTAGTCTATCACTTTAAAATTTGGAATGGCTAGCTGTAATAACTCTGACAGCCAGTGTATGAGTCATATACACACACAAGACTAAAAGTACTCGTCATAAGTAATATAAACATAAGATAAAAGATTCGCAGGTAGTATAAAAGCTTACATAAAAGAAAATAAGCCACCGTACTAAGAAAACTACAACAAAAAAGACCTCTAGACTAGGTTTGGCCATTTCATCCTAAGCTTAAGTTATATTCTGCAATTTTTAAAGAATAACAAGTGATTCCAAGGTCAGCAGTATATTTCATCATTGAAAGTCTCCAAATACCATAATAAACATGGGGGCAAATGGCTTTGTAAATTTACCTTTAGTATTGAGGCACAGATTGGTCCTGTGGTAGAGCTCTGAATTTGGAAGCTGGTTCAAATGTGCGAGATATCACAAAATATTCTTGCAGTTGTAGGTGTGATATAAGAGTGACAGCCAACCACTTAGCATGGGAGGTAGGGTGGTGCTAACTAGCTGCTTTACCTCTAGCCAAAATTGAGGATGGTGGCAGATAGCCTTAGTAGCTTTGGCATAAATACAGTACCTTTAGTATTTCAGACTAAAACTTGAAAATATAATGTTTTTCATATCAGGCAAATGGTAGAACTGTCTATGTAGGGATGGCTTGGATTGTTCAACGGAATTGTATTTTAAATATCTCATCAATAGGCCACCAGAACTTTAAAATACTGTATAGTGTTTCCTTTTATAACAATATCTATGTAATGACTGAATCACAAGTTCTGGGAATGTTTGTAAATATCATAGCAAAAAGTTTCAATTTCTAGTTCTTTCTTCTGCTTCTTTTTAATTACATGATCATTCAGAAACCAAGATCTTCTGCTTCTTTTTAATTACATGATAACTCAAAAACCAAGATCTTCTGGTGTCGAACAATTTCATTGAGGTGACTGTTTCAAATGGAGTATCCACTTTTGTAAGTATTATTAGCTAATAGTAATTAAAAAAAATCATAATTCTCATGTAAAAGCTGTTATCATTACCCCTTGAAATTAGCTTTTTTACAGAAATATGCTGTTCTTATAAAAAGCTTAAGTACAGGGTGAAACAGGAATTACCAGCCAGTAATAGATGAGCAATAAATATTACAGTTGGAACCTCACTGTATTCAGAACTGGTTAGAGTTGGGGTTATTTTAGATGGAAATTCCTTAAATATATATTTCAAAATAATGCTTGCAGGTACAACAAGAGTTACAAGAAATAACATAAGAATAAATAAGCTATTTGTCTTCTTCCCTGTAAACCAATTTCAGCAAAAAAACATTGGTCTTTCTTAGCAAGTTAATCAGTATTAATGAGATGATTAAATGAAGAGTATAAAAATGCAAGTCTTAAAAAGTTTTAATACTTTCTGTAGAGATTCAAAGAAAAAAAAGACTAGGGGTAATAACCTTCCTGTGTCTATTGAAACACTGCATTAAAAAAACTTTTCATAAAGGAAGTAAATGTAGGGGTGGCTAATATCAAATTTTCAAAAACAATGCAAACAAGGTAGTAGGAATGGAACTTTCATCATCCTCACATAATAGCACAGACAAGAATCAATATGGAGCAATATGTATATGTCTATTCAATCACAAATGAGTTTAATTAATCAAGATATTTTACAAACAATCAATATTTGAAATATTTTATTATCAAATCATATGTTTTAATTCTGCTGTAATTTTCACCTGTAGAGCCCCTCTTTCAAGTTCCCAGATAAGTTAGCGGCAAGTTATCGAATTCACAACGCTAAAAATTCGTGATTCGATTCCTTACAATGGGAAGAAACATTGCAGTTAGCTCATTGTGTAACCTTTGTAAACCACAACCCACCCCCTTTCAAGGAATAATAATTCTTACCTGAGCCTTTTATTACAAGACTCACATATGCTATCACTGCATGGATAATCGAATTTTGAGTAGTCCAAAAATGTTGACTTTATTCAACTACTGTCTTAATAATGCTACTTATTTTAATAATAGGTCAGATATCACCAATAATAAGAAATTACCAAAATCAAGAATAAAATGAATCGTTCAATTTGGACGTTTTTTTTTGTTTTTTTTTAAGGAGGTAGACCTTCACACCTGATTATGTTCTCTCTATTTACTGAACTGGGTCATTCAACTATGGTGCCACATGCACTTCTTTATGGGAAAGATTCTTGTAACGAGCAATATATTATATAAAAATAGATAACAATATTTTCCACTGACAAGTCAGATGATGCCATATTCATAGAGCGAATTACCATCAGTCACGAAGGTAGTACTTGAATTCTGAGAAGAATGTCACTGTTGTTTTTGTATATAACGCTATGTTTTCTTAGACTTGGGCAACTTTTTAGCGGGATTAAGACTAACAATTGAGTCAGGATGATTAAAACTTAGATTAGGTTTGCAACCCGGTAGCGCAGCGGAAAGTCTGGGGGGCTTTAACGATAAAAATCAGGTTTTGATACTTGTGGTGAGAAAAGCACAGACAGTCCATGTGTGACTTTGCACCTAAAAACAAAAATATATCAGACTTGCAGATATAGTTAATACATTTGATGATTTCAACATAGAGATTGATTTGCTAACTCTCCAGTAAAATAGCCCAAATGATACTATTGGTTCTAAAACTTGATTGTGAATTTTGAGCTTAGATTATTACGCTTTGTTTTTCTTGTGTTTAGTCTCTTTCTTTGCTTGAAATTCAGTCAATGTCGGACATTTCAGATTTTCATTCCACAGAACACTTACTTGCGAGCCTCATGTTTTCCTACAGCTTATACCCCATTATTACTCAAAGGAAAATCAGTAAACCTGAGAATACTACACATGTAGTTATATTATTTTCGGTAACCAGATATTTGAAAGTTCATAATCGATTATGTGTTAATCGTTTTGCTTAGGTAGCTTTTCGTTATGAACCGCTTTAAGATATTACACATTGTCAGATTTGAACGTGCCATATCTCATTGTTCTTTCTATCCTTGTCCTGTACGAACAAGTTTTCTCTTCAACCCAGCAACCAGTTGAAGTCAACTTAAAGTAAGAAGCCGGCCAGTTGGTGACAAACATGTCCACTTTAGTGAATAGAAGATTTGATTTTTTTACTCACTTGTGTTTATTTGTTTTTTCCATTTGTTGTCGATCTTCGATTAATCCTGAATTTTCGCGGATAATCTTTAACTATGTGGCGGATATCACTGAACCCGAATATAACAAAGGACGAACTATCTACCAAAATTAGATATCCGGGATAAATTCAGTATCCTCACTTGCACTTTAAACAATTAATTGTTACAACGAAGAGTTCATTTTTCTTGATAAACATAAAAACATTAACGAATAATTGGAATTATCTTGAAAAATCACATCAACAGTAATTTGTATTTAGTCAAATTTATCTCAAAATTATTTTGTTTCATTCCGAAAAACAAAATCCTCTAGCAATAAGCTATTTAATTTAAGTTTAAAACCTCTTGGAGAATAAAAGAAAATTCTACAATGTGTTATTTTTATTACAATGTGTTGTTCTTAAATATCTATCTCGTCAACTTCGTTTTGGAACACCATCTTCGAGATTCCCGGTGGCTCAATTGTAAGTTTTTGAGAGCTTGTAACGCTACAAATCCATGTTAGATATTCGCAATGGGTACAGCACAGATAGCCATTGTGTAGCTTTATGCTTAACAACATGGAGATAAAGAAAGCATAAAAAGAGTCACCACTTTAAAATGTCAAAATAGTTTGAAAAACAATTTTAACACTGAAACTATTAATTATTTACAACGTAGTTGTTTAAATAAGAGGTTTAATATTTCCTGCAAAAATATGTATATAAATAGCTTCTTAAAAAGTTTATACATTTTCCAAGGGCTGTTAAACATTATTTTATGATTAACCAGTTTGGAATTAAATATATTTTAATATAACTATGAATGGACAACATAAAGAATCATTATTAGTAGTATACATTATAATCATTTGTACCTAGTCTGTTGGTTTTATGCTTAAAATACTGTCGTTAAGGTGTCATTCCAATCCCCATGAAATACTTTGTCACAGAGATCGTAAGACCCCTAATTCTAAGTAAACAGCATTCCTCCATTTAACTCGGACCCTTTAAGTGTAAATATTTTCTGATTTATTGAACATTAATTATAGGATTTCTTTAATAAATTACGTAAGTTATGCAGTTAATAGTGGCATCTTACAATCAGCCCCTCAGTAGCACAGCGGTATGTCTGCAGACTGACAACGCTAAAAACCGGGTTTCGATAACTGTGGTGGGCAGAACACAGATAGCCCATTGTGTAGCTTTGCGCATAATTACAAACAAATCTTTCAATGAAGCTGTCGCCATCTAGTGGGTTATGGTGAAAAGCAATGTCCTTAAAATTCTAAGAAGTAAAATGTTTCCTTTCCGATAGAACACTTGTGCTGCTAGTCTAATACGTATCTTGCTATACAGACAAGATCTGACAAAACCTTATTTTATATACTATGTTTCAAATGTTCCATTTATTAAAGGTGTTTTGATTTCAAATCGAAGTATACTACATTCAAGTAAAATTTTTCTATAGCCATCAAATGCTTTTACTGTAATTATGTTATGTAACACTCTTCATGACACATCGTAACACAGATTTAGACACATCCATATAGTTGCGTGATTCTTCAATGATTTTTTCATACATACATTTAGTAATATGTCCATTTTGACTGTGTTGTAATATCTAGAACAACCATATGGCTCATGTTTCATTTTACGAACAAACGAGAAACTGTTGAGCTCATAATTATAATTAAAAGGTTAATTCTATCAGTACTCCATTAGTATTAGGGTAGCAGCTTCCTGCTATATCGTCTCTTGTAAACCCCGACTTTAATAAACATAATATTGTATTAAAAGTAATAATAGTTGAACAAATATAATCAATTATATTTATTGATAATATTTAATTCTAATTTATAAGCTTATATTCAACTCAACCTTGGTAAGTAGCTTAGAATTAAATTCATGTATTCTGGTATCTACTACTGAAGTTAACTCTGGACGTAAGCTATTTTCATTAGAAATTTTTTGTGACGTAATTTACACTTCTATGCTCGTTTACTTTTGAGACCTTAATGATTTCGTTAAACACAGCTTCTTTATATAATTGCAGAAGAAGATAGAAACCTATCACTTAATGCTGAAGTACAAACAAATACCTGCTAGTTCCTTAATGGACGTTTTCTTCTCTTTCATTTTTACGAAAGATTAAAAAAAAAACAAGTTAAAGAAAAGCACTTGGTCAAAGCTGCAGCTACAAAAAGCTTAATTTCTTTCCCGATGTTGTCAAATGAAATTTATATTCTGTCTCCATTTTGCGGCCTAAACAAAACACTGGACATTTTATTCAGTGCTCAAGCGAGTGTTACAAATTTAATGTACTATATCTGCGTTTATTAGTTTCAACAAATTTCATGTGTAAACTTAGTTCTACTTGTAAAAGTGTTGTCACTCTTCTTCTTCTTCTTCTTACTGTTTTTTTTTTTTTGCCAAATTTCAGTTACTTATATATTGACAAGATTTCAAAACAGGTTTGAAAAAAAAAATTAATCTGATTAATCCAGGATATCTGCTCTTTTGTAACTTCAAGTTAAAAGTTTACAGTGGGTTTAAAATACTGAAGAATAAAATAAAATAAGAAAGTAAGGCAGCTTTAACTGTTCTTGTTTAAGAGAAAGTTAAGACGGGAAGGCTGTACTTGATTCAAGGCTTTCATGGACTGGAACTGCCTTGGAAGTTTTTGAACGACGTTTTGAGCTGCCAGCATATTGCATAAAAACATTAAACTTTTTCTTTTCTCTTTTAAATAAAGTAAAACAGATTTAAACAAAATAAATCCGAACTAAGATTTCAAATTGGAGAGTTTAATTGTTATTCTGCATTAAACAAAATCATTTTTAGGTTCAATGTTTGATTATTAGACAGTATAAATTTGATAATAACTTTAAAATTAAGTACATAAAACACACTGAGTTTTGAATTAACTATTGAAACAGCTTTTACGAAAACTGCATAAGTCACGCTATATTATACCGTAAGTTTATATTTAAAAAAGTTTTTGCTGCTAACGTATCAAACGGTTTTGGTTGTACTACTATATAAAATAATCAAAATTTATCATCAAAGTGAAAGCAGCTGTGGTGCTTATACATAAAAGAAAATAATATAAAAATACTTACTAAAATAGACTGTGCAGAGTGAAATATATTTGTATAACAAGATTTAACCAGCTTTTATTCTTACACTGTATGAAATATAATATTTGTTTATTTTAGAAAATTCCAAAGTACTTCTTCAAATAGTCAATATTGATGTATTTTATTAGTTCCATAGTTATTTTCCAAATTACTAATTCAACTACAGATAAAGCAGCAAAACATTTTTTTTACTTAACTGACACGGGCATTTTGAACATCCCATAAATCTCATTCAACTTATTAATTGAGCTGTTTGGAACTACTGTTGATTATTTATTAAAGATTAACACAACTATTTCTATACCGTTAGAAAATTATTATTCAAATGGTTGCAAAATTGATTCCCTGTTATACCATAAACATTTTTCAGATGGTCAAAAAGATCTTTCTTCTCTTGAGGCGGCAAAAAACAAGACTGGGCAGCATTGAAATTCTGAAAGCAGTAATCAAATTCTGTAACACTGTGAACCAAAACCTAACAGTTGTAATACTAATGCGTGTACATGTGTGTGTTAACAAAACATATTCAGAATTAAATGTTTACGAATAGTAAAAAAAAAATCATTTACTCCGAAGAATAAAATAGATTAAAATAACATTATTTTATATAATATAATAATAACGCACTGACAACAAATATCCCCGCGGTGGACACGGCAGATAACAGCCTAGTGTGATTTTACTACAAACGAATTATTACATTTTGGCCACTAGATGGTTAATAATTGAATAACCCATAACTTTAAACTGGAATATACACTGAATATATGATATTAAATCGTATGAACTTAAGATTTATTTTAAATAATGTACAATTTATATAAAATGCGCATTATGAATACAAAATTAAAATAATCCATTGATGAATTTTTAGGAGTATTTGTCCTTCCAAAATTAAACATGTTTTTTGCACCTTTTTCATATACACAAAGTATTAGCTATTAATATAATTATTATTTTTATTGTGTTCATTTTAACCTCGAGGTATAATTGGAAGTTATAATGTATAGTAATGCTACCAAATTTTATAATAGGTATTTGTTTATATAGGTCATAGCTGATTTTGAATTATAGCGATAATGAATTAGCCATTTTTCTATTGTTCTGTTTACTTACTGCTCGAACAATATGGAAATCCTTCAGTCCTTTTTTTTGGAGCAAACGGTATTCGTCATCTAATGTCGTTCCAGTGAATAAAGGATCGTCTGTGTTGATTGAGAAATCTGCGCTGTCTTCGGCAAGCCTACAAAGATTGATGCAATTAATTTAAAATGAGAAGAATTTCAAAAACTTCGGTAAAACAATATATTTGTCTTGTCTGTGCCAAATATCTTAAGGCTATATGTCGAAGCCCCTAATTTTGAGCTGCCAACCAAAGGGAAATCAACCGACTGGCACCACCTATTGCTAACTCTTGGGATACTCTTTACTAGTGTAAAGTGGGACTGATCGTCAGATTATAACGCCACTCAGTTGAAAGGGCGAGCATGATTGGCATCGGGGTTCCTGCGACCCGCAGATTGCGAGTCCTGACCCTTACCACCAAAATATTCCAAGGTCTAAAGAAATATGAAAGTAGTTTTATGGTGCTTGCATAGATATATTTGTAATCGTATCAATCTTTTAGATATAGTATACAAAGCATGAGGGGTTACGGTGGGCCTGTGTTCAATATAGATGTTTTTGTGTTTAGCGAAATATAGTCACTACTATAATTAGAAACAATAAAGAATAATGACGATGAATACTTGTAAATTAAACTAAATAAATAAATAGAAAATAGAAGTGCTATTCAAAAGAGATGCCCCCTTACTTGACAATCGGGTGTTTAGTACAATTTGCAGGAACAGCACCAGTAAGGTAGCTACTATGAGGGCACGTTTCAAAATGAATACCCTTCTTCAGTAGGTCTTGGTAGAGTACTTCGTCATCGACAGCCCTGTACCCATGACCGATTCTTTCTAATTGGAGGAATTTCACGTGTCTATCAACACTACTCGGAGGTCCAGCTTCTCCTGTATGTGCTGTTCTGTGGATTCCTAATTGGGCTGCCCTCTGTTGGGTGATAGCAGTAAAAAATAAGGACACATGAAATTCCAGCATTTCATGTCAAGCTATTACTTTCAATACCTACAAAACAAGCTTTATATGTTGGTTATATCAATATTAGTAGCTCGTGGAAACTACTTTCGACAACTAGCTTTGTTATGTTATTTACTGCTGTGATTGATGGTGAATTTTAGATGGATTCGTTAGACGCGTTAGATGAAAAAACAAAGAAAAAAAAACTATAAAACTCTGATTTCAATATTACTGAAAAATTATTCCTGTTTAGCAGTTATATTTTCCTAAATCACGATGAATGATCATAAGAACTAATACGCTTGTTTACTTTAACATATGTTGATACATGATTAGATTTTACGATACAATAAATATTTACTTTGAGACGGTACTAGTATAATTTAGTTTTGTATCTGTATTTTACAGGAGAGTAAAGTGTAAATAATTACAAATCTTTTTGTTTAAACCATTGTTTTTCACCCATCTTTGAAGAGTGGTAATACGTTTAGAGCTTAATTTATAATCCTCACATTTATCATGGTTGCTATTCAAGTTTATTTTTTAGCTGTTTGTTTGTTATAGAACAGTCATTTATATAATTGATTAACTCTACACGCATATCGTTGTTAAAGAAACTAAAATACATTAAAAACAAACGTCTTATTCGTTTCTAATCGTATAGTGTAAATACATTGTCTGATTACATTACTATCGAGTCTATACAATTTCTAATTATAACATCTTTATAGGCTCTTGTAACAATGAGGTTTAGATCTAAGTCATTCCTTTCGTGCACTATAAATATTCTTTGTTCATCAACAAAAAGTACTTATAAATCTAATCCGAACATCTATCTATATGTAATATCTTACAGTATTCAAAAACAAAAGAGAAAGAAGGCCTTCAAGTAATCATCACTTTCTAATTTTAGCTCGTTGCTGAAATTTATCAGCGTTTTAGCCAACTTTACTTGTTCTGATACAGTTCAGTAAATATAAAGATAAGAAGAAAAGGTTTATCCTCCTTTATAATTAGGGAAGTCGAAATTTCTATTTAATAATATTTCCATAAATATTTGTTAATATTCTAAAATATCTGTTAAATAACTTTTTCTTCTCGCGGTACAATCCTCCAGAAAGTTGAAAACAAATTCCCTCCAGTCTCCTCTTTATTGGGCTTTAGCTAACTAATCTTTTATTCATTGTTTGTTTTGGACATGGAAACATTACAGTGACAACTATATTACCAAGCGCCACAATACATACCTGAAATACTTCTATCACTTCCTTCCTTAATCCCTCTTCTCCCTCCAAATCCTGATTTGGCCCAAGCCAAGGGCCAGTTAGTCCAAACCCAGCAACAGACTTGTCTTTGAATTCTTCACATAGTGACAAAACCTCACGAGCCTCATCTGAAAGAAAAGGGGTCGGAGAAGTTGTTTGCCAAGAAAATGGGATAAATAACAAATTTTACCTTCTTTTGCATTAAGATATATGAACGTAGTGTTTGAACACAACAGCAACGAGAAACATGTAGACGTTTTGAGTTATAGAGATGTAACAAATTTCTTTTGGGTATTCCTAATACACCTGAAAACCTACTTTTATTTGAACTATGCTCAGTGTGTTTTTTAGTAATATCACGTTTTAATATTAAAATACAGCTAGCAATTAGTATTACAATTAGCTGAAACACTCGAAAAGTTGTCCTGTCTATACTTCTATAAAACATAAAATCTCAAAATATTCGTCTAGTCCATTTTGATAAAAAAGGAGGATAATCATTCTACATCCTCTCATTCTTCGTCCATTTTTAATAGAATAAATGACCACATCAGTCTCTTTGAGTAAGAATCCTTTAAACTATCTAGAATACCTTAAAAACACTTTTACCTTAAACACGTTTAGCATGTTTTGTTTGTTTGTTGTTAAGCGTTAATCTACTCAAAAGGATTTCTATCTGTCCTGTGCCCACTAAAAGTATCGAAACCCAGCTTTTAGCATTATAAGCTTACACTTTTACCTCTGAGTCAATGTTTAGAAATAATTTATCCCAGTGGGTCAGCTGTAACTTTACGGATTTACAATGCTAAATTCAGAAGTTCGATCCTCCGTGGTGAACAGAGCGCAGATAACCCATTGTGAAGCTTTGGGTAAAACAACAACAACAACTGCATACAAACAAGAATGGGTTGGGAGTGGACAAATGTTTAACGTACTCAAAATGTAAACTGCGCGAACTCATGGTTTTTGTTCTTTTTCCAAAAAAATGCTCTGTATTTATGGCTATGAGTGCACATAGAGTGAAGGTCAAATCCCACTACTTAGGTAAAGTTTGAGAACTCGGCAAGAACATCATGCTTCATAGAGCTCTATTACTGTGATTTTAGTTAAATAAATATTAAACCTTCTATAGTTTGACATAAATAAATCCCCCAATGTGACAGCTGTAAGTTTAGGGACTTACAACGCTGAAATCCGAGTTCAATTCCCTGTTGTGACGTAACAAATAGTACAATGTAGCTTTGCCCTAAAACGAACAAACAGACATAAATGATTTTTAAGCTTAGTGGTTTTGGGAACTTGCCCAGAATCTTGTATTTATACTAAGCTTACTTAAGATAAATTCGAATAAGGATTTATATATTAAGAAGTTAGAAATGAAATAAGGAAGTAGTGAAAATATAAGTGTCAAGCCTAAGATCAAGGACACAATGAAGTCAAGAAGTTCTACTCAAGGAAAAGGGTTAACAATTTACGAAAAATAAACACTTAAAAAAATGTGGTTATTAGCCATGGCATAGCGATTCATAGAATGGCTCTAAGTTTGTTTCAAGAACAAACTTTTAGCTAATAGTTCCATCTCTTGGCCGATTTGAGATCTATTTACAGTCGCGGCTATTGAAAATTCCCTCTTGCTTTTATTTTAATGAAAAATAGTAGTACTGAGTTCTATTTAAGATGTGTGTGAGTTACGCGATCTATCACTGTCTTCAGTTTATGTTCCCAAACAGGGGAAATTTGCTGTTCTAATTGTGATCCAAAGAAGTGGTAAAAAGATAACAGATCTCATGAATTATATACCAATAAACTTAACAAGTTGTATAGGAAAATTATTGGAAAGCATAATTACAAATAGGTTGAAGAAACATACAGAAAAAAATAACCTGATAACTCCTAATCAATGCTTTTCAAGAAATAAACAAGCAAACATCTGACCATCTGGTCAGGCTGACTGAAAGTATATTCAATGGATTTAATGGTGGAGATTTTACAGCTGCCGTGTTTCTGGATATAGAAAAGGCTTTATATACTGTTTAACATAAGTAGTTTCTATTTAAATTGTTGACTGAAATTCGTAGACTTTTCAATAATATAAGATGGATAAAAATATTTTAAATAGAAATGGTGTTAAAATAAAAATAAATAAATGTCATATCAGAAGGGTTTAGTCTTAAACAAGGTGTACCTCAAGGGGAAGTTATTAGTACACCATTGTATATTACATGTGTAAATGATTAACTATATCCATATGAATTGTTTAATCCAATCCAAGTGTCACAACCTGTAGATGATGTAGCTCATTGGCATATTTGTAAAAGTGTAGATAGAGCTACTCAAAAATTCCATTTGGCCATGATGTACCTGATACTTTGGTGTGCCTTGTGGAGAGCATTATTAAATCCAATTTAAACTAAATTTATTATTTTTCGCAGAGTTAGTAATAAAAAACATCCTCGGAAAAAAATATCAACCTGTTATGATAAACTTATTGAAACGTCTAAGAGTGTTAAGACCTTTGATATAAAATGTTGATAAATATTTGAATTGCAAAATGTACGTAAAAGACTTAAATGGAAAAATGGAAAAAAGTAAATATGTTAAACTAATAAAGCAAAATAAATATTGTAATATAAATACAGATTTAAAAATTTATAAAGTGTATTTTAGAACTTCCATCGAATACGGTATTCCTACTCAGGACAATGTAAAAGGAAGCAATTTATATATTATACGGGTAATTAATTCAAAATATATGTTTTAGGCTTGAGACCAGATTCCCTATTTATACACGAAGCAGTGTTAATGTTGAACTTAAAGGTTAGGTGAAAAACGTTGACATGTAAATATGGATATATACATAAATATAAACAAGAGACATAAATTATAAATATATATTAATAATTTGTAGAAGTAAAATAAAGAAATCTAAAGACCATATTTCTCCTTTTTACTTCTGTTTAGATAATAGTATTTAAAGCATTACAGTGATGAAAGCTTTAAATTTTTAAAAAATATTCATATTGTGTATTTTAGAGCTCTAAATTATCATTTTAAAGTATATTTTATCTCTTATTGTATATTTATAAACTCTTAATTTATCTTTGATAATATTTTATTTATATTCATTTTAAATATTTTAATCTATTGTTCTTATCATTGGTTCTACAATTTAATATTTTATTTATTATATTATGTGCATTTTGTTTCATTATATTATCGTTAATTAATTAATTATCTTTTTAAAGACATTTTAAATTCAAACTCCTGGCTTTTCCTTATCTTTTTGTCGCAGTTATTAAATTATAAAATGCGTGGTAAAGACACTATAAATGCCTAAAACATCATATGTTACCCCAATGATGAAATATCGTCAGTAATTCACGGTAGGCCCTTTTAACTAGCTATTTTCCCGCTAGTCTGTTAGTTCAAAATTAGTCACGGCTATGCGAAAATAACCTTAATGTAGCTTTGCATACAAAATCTGAAATACAACAGAATATAGTTTATCTGAAATGTTCAGATTACACATGACGAGGTTGGGATCTAAAGAGTTTACCTAGGCTATCATGAAACAAGACTCAAGTCACACATTTGTCTTTCACAGTTCACTTAGTTTTATAGTTTACTTAACCCAGATTGACCGAATTCCATTTGACACACATTCCATTTTCCCAGATTTCTAGTCGGAAAATACAAGTTTGGAAAGACAACAAAAATGGTGATCATTTAAAAAACTTAAGTTATCACATAACAAGCATATTTCTCAAATACATTTTGAGGAGTGACTGGGTCTTTCGAAAAATGATTGTAGTTTCTGATGTAGCCACTTCTATATGCAAAAAAGGGCGAAAGCTGCTTAAAAGAGATTTGGAATTTAAATACCTTAACAGTAACTACAATTATTATTACTAGAAGCTTAGTCTAATGTATATTGAATAATAGCGATTTTCCCTTACTAGGATTTTCTCTACCACAGTTGAGGAGCGAACGTGCTTTTATGCCATAGTCTTGTTCTGCCCGCTGAAACCCTTTCGTTACGAGTTCGAGCACCATTCTGTAGGTCATAGTTTCAAGACTAGTGAGACCATCGCTGTTCATCACGTTGGCCAGGTTTGCAGGTCGATAATGGACCTCGCTGTATACTACACCTTCTCTGGCCTGTTGTTCGGCCATTTCGTAAGCTATCCGCTCAATAGCTGTACAGTTTCCTCTGAAGGAAGACACGAAACAGTTTTATTATGTTCCATGCTGCATTAATTATAATATTCCAAAAATTACACTCTTTACATAAAAAGGAACCTTTTCATGACTATTGAGAAATCATATTAGTAAATTCGTTTTTCTAACATAGTTGTAAAATTTGATTTATAATAAACGAAACTGAATTCATTTTCTATTTTAAATTTAATCTGATTTTTTTTTGTTTATATTAGATTGATACAACGAGTAAAATTAGAGATTTTAAGGATTATCGCACAACTTACATACACAAAAGCAA